AGCTACTTAATGTCTTGTAAATTCTCTGTGGGCTCTTCCCCATGACAAATAAAAAGGGCAGGTGGATAAGGAAGATGAGAAAGGGGTGTTTTCTATACAGCACGGGCCAGCTTTTTCAGTTCAGATTTCTAAGCTGGCAAGAGTGTACATGATAGCTAAGAAATTCAAACTGGTGAGACAAATGGACAAAATTAACAAAACTGACAATGCCAAGTGTTGGTGAAGACATGGAGCCACTGGAACTCTTATTTGCTGTGGGTGGGAGGGTAAATTTGTGCGACAGTCTTAGAAGTCTGCTTGGCCGTATCTGCTTAAGCTGAAGATAGGCCTCCCTTACCACTTAGAATTTCCACTCAGGGTATTTACCCAACAAGAATGAGTGTGTATTCATCAATCAGGCTCCCTGACTTCAGACTATACTACAAAGCCACAGTAATCAAGACAGTATGGTACTGGCACAAAAGCAGAGATATAGATCAATGGAACAGGATAGAAAGCCCAGAGATAAACCCACGCACATATGGTCACCTTATCTTTGATAAAGGAGGCAAGAATATACAGTGGAGAAAAGACAGCCTCTTCAATAAGTGGTGCTGGGAAAACTGGGCAGCTCCATGTAAAAGAATGAAATTAGAACACTCCCTAACACCATACACAAAAATAAACTCAAAATGGATTAAAGACCTAAATGTAAGGCCAGACACTATCAAACTCTTAGACGAAAACACAGGCAGAACACTCTATGACATAAATGACAGCAAGATCCTTTTTGACCCACCTCCTAGAGAAATGGAAATAAAAACAAAAATAAACAAATGGGACTTAATGAAACTTCAAAGCCTTTGCACGGCAAAGGAAACCATAAACAAGACGAAAAGACAACCCTCAGAATGGGAGAAAACATTTGCAAATGAAGCAACTGACAAAGGATTAATCTCCAAAATTTACAAGCAGCTCATGCAGCTCAATATCAAAAAAACAAACAACCCAATCCAAAAATGGGCAGAAGACCTCAATAGACATTTCTCCAAAGAAGATATACAGACTGCCAACAAACACATGAAAGAATGCTCAACATCATTAATCATTAGAGAAATGCAAATCAAAACTACAATGAGATATCATCTCACACAGGTCAGAATGGCCACCATCAAAAAATCTACAAACAATAAATGCTGGAGAGGGTGTGGAGAAAAGGGAACCCTCTTGCACTGTTGGTGGGAATGTAAATTGGTACAGCCATTATGGAGAACAGTATGGAGGTTCCTTAAAAAACTAAAAATAGAACTACCATACGACCCAGCAATCCCACTACTGGGCATACACCTTGAGAAAACCATATTCAAAAAGAGTCATGTACCACAATGTTCATTGCAGCTCTATTTACAATAGCCAGGACATGGAAGCAACCTAAGTGTCCATCAACAGATGAATGGATAAAGAAGATGTGGCACATATATATAATGGAATATTACTCAGCCATAAAAAGAAACAAAATTGAGTTATTTGTAGTGAGGTGGATGGACCTAGAGTCTGTCAAACAGAGTGAAGTTAAGTCAGAAAGAGAAAGACAAATACCATATGCTAACACATATATATGGAATCTAAAAAAAAAAAAAATGATCATGAAGAACCTAGGGGCAAGATGGGAATAAATACGCAGACCTACTAGAGAATGGACTTGAGGATACGGGGAAAGGGAAGGGTAAGCTGGGGCAAAGTGAGAGAGTGGCATGGACATAGATATACTACCAAACGTAAAATAGATAGCTAGTGGGAAGCGGCCACATAGCACAGGGAGATCAGCTCAGTGCTTTGTGACCACCTAGAGGGGTGGGATAGGGAGGGTGGGAGGGAGGGAGACGCAAGAGGGAAGAGATATGGGAACATATGTATATGTATAACTGATTCACTTTGTTATAAAGCAGAAACTAACACACCATTGTAAAGCAATTATACTCCAATAAAGATGTTAAAAAAATATATATATATATGACTAGTAAGAATCAAAAAAAAATGAGTGTGTATTCATCAAAAGACATGTACAAGAGTACTCAGAGCAATTTCTTTCAATGGCCAAGAACTAGGGACAATCCAAATGTCCATCAACAGATGAACAGACTGTGGTACATCCATACAATGGAATACCACTCAGCAATTAACAAGAGGGAATTCAGGCAACACAGATGAGTGTCTCAGACCTAATAGTGAATATAATTAGCCAGGCTCAGAAGAGAAGAGGACTCGTTTGGGCATTGCGCTTAGATCAAGTTCAAGAACAGGCATAATGGAATTCCCTGGTGGTTCAGTGGTTAGGACTCAGCACTTTCACTGCCAGTGGCCCAAGTTCAATCTCTGGTCGGGGAACTAAGATCCCGCAAGTCAAGCAGCATGGCAAAAAAACAAAACCAAAACAAACAAACAAACAAAATAGGCAGGATGAATGATGGGGTAGAAGCCAGCAGCTTTGGGGGTTTGGGTGGGAGGGTGCCCAAGGGGATGCTCAAGACTGGCACAGATCATTCCTCTGATCTGGGGGTGGAGAGAGCAGTAGGGGCCACACCTGGGCTCTGGAACACTTGAATACAAGAAGTGTGGGGTATGCCACTAGTAGAAGCCAGACTAGTAGAAGCCAGGAGAAGACGACTTTGGGCTGCAGAAGCCTTCCAGCTGAGAAGAACTTTGAGAGCCAGGAAGAGTTTTTGCCACAGTCAGCAGAGGCTGCGGAGAGACACAGCCCCACAAGAGTTCTCCCTCAGAACTACCAAATGAGGTGAGGACCATGGAGATTCCCATTGTAAAGATGGACAAACTGAGGTATAGAGAGGTTAAGCCACTGCTCAGGTCACCAGCTAGTGAGCATTGGAGCTGGGACCACATCTCCCCAGAAATGTCCCTCTCAGTCCCCAGGACCCTGTGATGCCCGGGTCTCAGCGCCTCAGAGCCGGCTAAAGGGAGAAGGATAAGTCTTCCTCTTCTTCTCCCTTCCCTGTAGCCCAAGAGGATGTAAGCTTAGTTGGAGCTGTGAGGATTGATGTGGCCCAAGTCAGGAGTTGGGGGCTAAGGGGAGAGGCTCCATCGGGACTTTCCGGCCCCTTTGTGAGGCTGTTCCCAGGCCCCGTTGCACTCAAGAGGGTTGGGATTTTGCAGAGTGAGTGACCTGGCAATGATGGTTGATCCAGTCGGACCCAAGGCCAGTATGGGTCGTCCGGGGCCCCTGGTCACACACAGATGCCCTGGAAAGTGATCTGGGGCTGGTTTCGGGGTGGCCAAGATCACAACCAGAGAGAACAAACAGGCTTTGCTTCCCAGCTGGATCGGATTCCATGGCCGGCGCCAGAGCAACCTGGGTGGGACCTGGCAGGTGCTGGCTGCGCCCAGAGTGGAGAGATCCGGGGAGATATCTTAGCATCAGAGGCCTAGTTTTTCCAAGGCAGCTGAAATGGGGTGTGGGGAGGGGGTACCGTCTCCCCCCACCCTCCCCTCCAGGATAGTTCACTGTCTCCGCCCTCAGACTCCCAGGGCAGAGGACTCTTTTCCCTCAGATCCCTGTGCAGAGCAGTATCTCCCCCTTCAGGTCCCCAGGCCAGTGTCGTTAGACACAAGTGCCTGGGTGGGTGGCACATCCCCTTGGGATCCTGTGTGACCCCTTCTGGCCAATGAGCTGTGAGCAGAACTTTGACAAGGCACTTCCAGGCCAGAGCACTTGACAGCGTGAGATCCTTGCCACTATGACGAGCAGCCTGTTGCCGCCCTGCCATGGGCACGTGAAGTGGATGAGAAATAAGCCTTAAGCCTTCCTACGCTGCAGAGATCTGGGGAATGTTCCTGACCTGGGCCACCCTGACGCTATGGGTACCTGGGGAAGAGAGAGTAGAAAAGGAAGCACATGCGTGGGAGAGACAGTGTGAGCCCTGGGGTGGTTCATTTCACAAATAGTTTGTGGAGTCCGTATTCGCCAATTCTCCTACTGGCTCAAATCTGTGACCCCCAGACCGATACTCACAGCGCTTTTGCGGCTATTGGTGGACATGCACAGTGCCGGAAAAAATTTGAGTCCTCAGAGGTGCACGTTCCCAGCTGTGGTAGGACAAGGCGATGTCCTGCCTTCCTGTTCCAGCTCTGACTGTAAACAGGCATCCTTCTTGAGGTCTAGCCAGTGGCCCATTTTGCATTTTTGTGCTTTTTCATTGGTGAGTTTTGCTGTTTGCAAAGGCCCCCAAGTGTAGTGCTGAGGAGCTATCTAGTGTCCCCAGGTGCAAGAAGGCTGGGATGTGCCTCCGGAAGCAAATACTCTCCGACGAGCTTTGTTCAGACGTGAGTTCTAGGGCTGGTGGCCGTGAGTTCACCGTTAACAAATCGGCAGCATGTATATTAAACAAGGTGTCTTGAAATGCACAGAAAACAAGGTTACGTATTGATTACTTGACCAAAATGTGACTAGTGGCTTACAAAAACCTACCTGTATCTCCCCGAGGAATACAGTATTTCCTAATTCGGTTTTCACGCTACTTTACAAGAGGTAACTACCGCAATTCGTGAGTATCCACCGTTTGTGTCTACCACACAGCGGAGGAAAAGGGACGCACAGAACAGAACAGCTTGGTGGTTAAGAGAGCAGGCTCTGGGTTGGAATCCCAGCTGTGAATTTAGCCGCCTCCTGCTTCAGTTTTCCTATCTGTGAAATGGCCACGCAACCAGGGCTTCCCACTGAGCTGGGGGAGGACTAAATGAGATACTGTACATCAGGTGTTGGTGAGAAGGTCCTCGAAGTATAAACGGTGGCTGTTACTATTATTACTGTTATGCGCAATGATGGAGGGGCGGGACCCGGTCTCCTCTGTGATTCGGAATCCCGGCTCAGGCACTCGCTGAGCCTCAGTTTCTCCCTCTGTAGAATGGGAGTGGTGGCAGCGCCCCCTGCCCTCCAGGATTTCACCCGCTTGCTGGGTGTGCGTCCGTCCCTGGCTCCTGCGAGCCACAGAGACCCACAGTCAGAATGGAGACTACAGACGGCCCGGACAGCGTGGTGTTTTATTTCCTGGAGGGAGGACGCCCGCGTGGCCTCCAGGCACCAGCGAATTTTGACACAAATGACTTGAAGGCACTGGTTTCCGTCCAGCCCCCTACCCCTTGCCTTGCCCATCACGGCCCGGAGGGCAGGAGACCCATCACCAAGCAGACCGCTCCCGGCCCCTCCTCCAGGGCTGCTGCTCCGCTGAGTGGCTGAGGGTCCATAATGCCTTGCGCCGCCAAAGCTCCCAAGATTCAATGCGGTGGGCAGCTGCCGGTCCGGAGCTGTCAGGCAGGGGACTCTTCCCTGGGGCCGGTGAGGGGCTAAGAGACGCTAGGGGGCAGGCGGGCAGCTGCCGTCTTCTCCACCACGAAGCCGTAGTTGTACTGGGGGGTGGGGAGTGGGGTGAGCGGAGAGCACAGAGCGGAGGAGGAACCACTGGGGTGCCGGAGAAATGGTGGGGCAGGGGGATCTGGAGCCCTCGAGGTGGGTTATAGCTGGGAGAGAAGAGGGACCCAGGGGAGACTGGGGGGCTGCACCCCCCAACCCCACCCCCTCCCCTGCACCCACCTCCTCCTCAATGTCCGCCAGTGACTTGATGGTCAGATCAGCAAAGGCAGAGAAGACCTGGCAGGCAAGGGGCATGTCAATCTCGGGCACGGACCCCAACGTGGAACCCCCGTTCCCTCGTCTGAAAGGAGGGCCCCCTCAATATTTGCCTGAATGTCCACTCCCCTTTCCTGCCACCATCTCTCGCCCCCAGCATCCAGCTGCTCCTCCTGACTCCCCCATTCCAGGAGACCCTCCCGCCCCCTTGCCTTGGCCTCCAGCCTCCTCTCACCCAGGAACTCCCCTCTGTGCTGAGGTGCTGGTTACACAGATGATGCTCCCTGATTCCTGTTGCCTAGAAACGCAGTGGGAAGGGGCGGACCCGGACTCACCAGGGGACCACAGCTCTTGCCCTCGAATCGGGGGTGCAGCGTGAAGGGAACCCCATCCATGGCTGAGGAAAGCAGGTGGGGGGAAGGAGCTGAGGCCCAGGAGACTTGAGGCCTGCCTGCTTCCCACCCTGAGAAGCCCATCCTGGAGGTCTCGGCTTTTCCCAGTCTTGACAGAATGGGGGAAAGCCCAGGCCTGGTCCAACCCTGCCCTTGCACCTTCCTGGCTGTACAATCTCGGGCCAGTCTAGCCCCACCCCCACCCCTGTGCCTCAATTTCCCTGCTCTGTGCTCACCTGAGATGCCGTAGAGGTTGGAGGCCTCGTAGATGGAGTCGCTCCTCCGAAGTGTAGACGCCCGAGAGCCCAGCCTCGAGAGCGTCCGCTCCGGGAAGCCACCCTTGCTGGTGGAGGCAGGATGACCCAAGTCAGAGGCCTGATAGCCACCGCCCCCCGCCCCATGGTCGCTCCCATCCCTGAGCCCGAGGACTCACCTGGGCTGGCCAGGTGGGTCCAGGGAGAGGTCTCTCATGTCTCGGCTGAGAGCTCGGGGCTTAGGCACTGGCCGCGGGGCCTTGGCCTTCTTGCACCAGATGGCGAAGCCCCCCATGTCCCTAGAGGAGGAGGAAAAGAGAGAAGGGGCTCTGGCCCAGTGTGCAGCCAGGGCTGAGAAGAGCTGCCAGGGGAAGGCAGGCCTCCGGTGACCTCACATCGCAGCCCACACGCGCGGCAACATACTAACTAGTATGATGGGTGCAGTCACCATACCAGGTGCTTCAGACACACCAACTCATTTGGTTCTCACCATCACCCTATGAGATTGGTACAACTGTCCCCACCTTAACATGTGGAAACTGAGGCACAGAGAGGTGGCAGAAGGGACGGAAGGACTCATGGGGGTCCCTGAGGGTCAGAGGGGTAGGTATGGGGGTTGGGAGGCCAAGGAAGGAGGGCTGGGGGGTGGCCCTACCCTACTCGCAGGTATCCAGGCACCGTCTTGGTTTTCCCACTCAGCCGGACGTCAAAGACAGCTGTGTCCGCGACCCCCAAGGGCACCAGCTTCACACACATGCGTTTCTTCTTGGACACGGAGGCCTCTGGGAGTGAGGGACAGGGGAATGAGAAAAGGGGAGAAGCAGGAAAGGGGTCCAAAGATGGCTCCAGGAGAATGCTCGCCAAGGTGCTGTTTAAGGCAGCCATCTGGATGGAGCTGGGTCAGCAGTTACATCATGAATGGTAAAGCCATAGGAGGGGAATCCATGAAGCTTTCAGGAGCCATTGGGGCAGGCTCATCTTTGGTGACATGGAGGAGCATTCATGGGGTGGCCATGGGCACCACAGTGAGGGTGGGTAGCTGTGGGATCAGACAGAACTGGACACCCATCCTGGCCCTCCAAACACACTTTCCCTCAGCCCTCTAATCCCGAGGTCAGCAAACTACAACCTATGAGCCAAATCCGTTTTTGTCTGGCTCATGAGCAAAGCATGGCTTTTACATTTTTAAAGAGGTATATATTATATATATGCAACAGAAACCATCTGGGCTGGAAAGCCTAACATATTTACTACCTGGCCCTTTACAGGAAAAGTTTGCCAAGTCCAGTACCAGTAGATATATGCTGAGAGCCAAACAGAAGTGACAAGACATGGAGAGGGCATGAGAGGAAGGGAGAGCCTGATGGTTAGAAAGCAGAGCAGTCGGGACTGGGAGGGCAGCTCCAGGGTAACCGGAGCCCGTGTGCAAAAGCGTGGAAGTGGAAAATAGAACTGCGCGTGGATCAGCTTAGCTACAGTGTAAGAAGAAGGCGGAGTAGTAAAAAACAGGTCGCATTGACTGAACACTTACTCTAGAACAGAGACTGTACCAATGGCACATTTTTACGCAGGGTGGGGTACATCGTCCCGCCCTAGATCAGGCCTCTGAGTCCTCAGCCAACACTGTCATTACCCAGTGCATCAAGGGGGCGGCCAAAATTCAAAAATCGCATGCCTGTGGTCCCTCCATTCCTTTCCTGGACCCTCCCCGCAGAGACGCGAACGTGCCCCTGACCCCCCACCCCACTCCCGCCTTCGACAGGGGACTCACTGGAGTCCAGGGGGTCGCAGACCGGGGAGAATCCCGGCGGAAGGGGGCTCTTGTCCACCAGGACCTGGATATCGACCACCACGTTCTCCTGTGGATTCTGGCGGGGGGGGGGGGAGGGGATACATCGAGAATCACTCAGCAGCAGGGACCGTGTGCCTAGCATAGAGCTCAGCGAATGGACAAAGGGGAGTGGGAGGACCCCGGGGACTCCGAAGGTGAGGGCCCCTTACCTCTAGGCTGCCCAAAGGATTGAGACACAGGAAGTAGCCGGATTTCTGCCCGAAAGTCTTGCCGAAGCTGGCGGGCGCCCCCTCCACAGTGCAGGAGATCTACAGCGCGGATGCGGGTCAGCGCCAGGCTCTTACCCGGCCGCAGCCGACTCTGCCCCCATTCAATCCCCGGCCCCTGGTGTCGCCGCCTCTCTCCCTGTTCGTCCCTGGTCCCCTGACATTGCTCACCGCACTGAACCCCCGCGGCGGGGGCCCCGAGGCCGACGACCAGGCCAAACCAGCCAACGGGGCCGCGTCGGCCCCGGACCCCGGATCCATCCTCCAAGCCAAGCACCGAAGGCGGGGGACGGCCTCTGACCTCCTAGCCGCAGCTGGACTTCGGAGTTCGGGCAAGAGTCTGAACTACAACTCCCAGACGGCCTTGCAGGACCGGGGGCCCGGAAGCGCCGTATGAGCGTGCCGGGGAAGCCGCCGGCCAAATGCGCAGGGACAAGCAGCCACACCCTTCATGCCCACCCTCCCCGCCCCACAACCCCCCAACCCCACGGTGGGCCTTTGAGCGACGTTTGCGGAAAACTGTCTCGCTTTCTTCTCACGCCCAGCAACTTCTGCCGGAAATGTCTCGCTAGCTGCAAACCAAAACTACATTCCCCAGAATTCCTTGCGGTATCAGCCTCTACTCCAGAGATACGGTCGGTGTTTCACGGAAATTGGGGGGAGAAATATGAAAAACTCGCAATTCTAGCTCCAGGAGGTCATCCGAAAGGACACTTACATGTGTTATGCTGCGATTAGTTTAACGAAAAATACGGACCAACTTGAGCCATGAAATCTTGGTGTAACTTGAGGAATTATTCACAGATACAATTAGTTTTTTTAAAATGTTATAAAAGTATTTAGCATGGCTACATGCTTTTACACGCCTCAGGGGGAAATATGGAAAACTAGGGAAGAGAATATTATCTACTCCTGTATATTTTCCAATTTTTTACAATATCCTGGGTTAGCCCACTGCCTGTTTTTTGTACCACCTGTGAGAAAAAAAAAATGGTTTTTATATTTGTGATGAAATAAAATTGTTTTTAAGGCAGGACAAAAAAACTTTTAACATAAAATTCTCTCTGCCGTTTGGGCCACTACCTGCTCCCCTTTAGCGTGCATTGTGCATCTGCATTATACGTTAACTAGATATCCTTAACACAGTCGTGCCTGCTTGAAAGAAAAGAGCTTCCGGCGCCAGGAAGGTAGCTCCTTAGGAAATAACATTTCTTTCTCAATCCTGTAAAGGGTCATGATAACCCACTACTCACCTTGTATGTGCAGATCTGGACTACTTAAACTGTCAAAACCTTGACTCAAAAACTATACAACTGTGCTTTGACCTCTAACCGGTGGAACAGTCCTCAGAACTTTCTGAAAGACTTTCTTTCACTTTACAATCTCAAGACTATGGGGTCCCCTTGAAGTACCCCATTATTCCCACTGCTTAGGAGGAATGTTGGTTCCCAACCCCAGGAGTTCCCCAGGTGAAATTTGAAACTGACCCCCATACACAGAAGGCAAGGAGAAACCAAAGAAAGAGGCAGACCACTCCGGATTTGTAGGTGGCAGGTTTAACAAACGAGGGAACTTATATACGAGGCTTGTCTCAGGCAGCCACAAGATGAATAGATCTCCACACTGAGATAGGAAAGGGGCAGGGCACAACCTTTAAAAGAATGACATAGCCATTGAGGACACGACATAAACTGGTTATGATCTCGGAGAGACGGCAGTGAGTGGTCCTGAAGAGAGATCTCAGTTCCCTGCCCAGGAATTGAACCTGGGTAGCCTGGATGAAAACCAGGAATCCTAGCCACTATACCACCAGGGGCTAGAGACTAGAAGCAAAGGGGCCCTGGCTGTTTCCCCCGTTTGAAAGCAGGAATGTTTCAAGGAGGCAAAAATTGTAAAAACAGGTACAAAGTTTATTATTAGAGACACAGCACCGTGGTGTATGGGAGGGCACACAGAGAAGAAGTTTATTTATTTAAATCAGGCAGAAATACAGAATACACAGAAAGCTAGGCAGAAATACAAACCTAGAGAGAAAGGGTATGGGCCACCTCTCTAATGAGGAAGAGTGCAGTAAAGAGCTGATACAAATCCCTTATATAGGACAGTCCTTCCGGGTCTTTGTTTATCTTTGGCCAATTATCTCATTTCTTTTCCCACATCTGACCTGTTCTAGGTCACTCCCCAACATGCGTGCACAACTTTTTGCTAAGATGGATCCCACCGCAAAGGCCTGTGGGTGCATGTCCACACTTATGTGGTGGTGCCCCCTCCCTTTTTGACCCCCAAGGAGCCTTCCTGAGCATGTGCAGACAGGGAAGTTTTCCTTAACCTCAGGAGTTGTCATCTTATCTCTTTACTTCAGCAGAGCTCAGCTTCTGCCACCAGCTTCGTCCTTGGGGCGTCTGGGTGAGAGCAAAGCTTCAATTTTACTCCACTTGACAAACACCAGCTGTCCAGCCCAGGGGCCCATCTATCTCCTACCTCAGTTAGAACCAACTAGGTCCAAGACGGCGGAGAAGTCGACTTCCACTAGACCTTGAGCCTCAGTATACACTAATTGTAATACATCAGTAAGCTAAATGTCACACCCACAGGCGCCCTGACAGTTCTGAGGCCTACCGTAAAAGGCCAAAAAGTTGGCGGTGGCCCAATTCCTGGAAATCCCCTCCCCTTCCCCAAAATAGTTGGAATAATCTTCACACTCATTAACCTATGAAATTACTCACCCCTATAAAAACTGACAACCCCATATCCTGGGGCCTCTTGCCTTCTGAGATGGCCCACACTCTGTCTATGGCATGTGTATCTCCCTGAATAAACCTTCTTTCACTTTACTATGGCTCGCTCTTGAATTCTTTCCTGTGCAAAGCCAAGAACCCACACTTGGTGGCCGTCCCAGGGACTCACCTAAGACCTGGGATGTGACCATCCTCTCATACCCCACTTTCTCTCCCGCAGCAACACTGCTTACCAGAATCTTGAAAGTTTATATAAAGATCTTAACAGGATTCAGTCGCATATACCGTTCAGATTGTCTCAACAACACTTTACTCTCTCAAGGCTGCATCCTTGAAAATGGCTCCCTTTGTGAGAACAGTGGGTGGAACATACATTCCAAGGATGGAGAAGGGGTGAGGGGCCTCTAGTTCCCTGGGTCCACCTCGAGGGTCAACTGGTAGCCACGTCCTCTCAATGACCTCCTCCTGAAACGGAGCAGGACCCTGTAGTCGGTCCTTCCCCATGTCCTCAGCCTGCCTTTTGTTTGTGGAAAAATTTTAGTCGAAGAATAAATTTAATCAGAAAAATGAGAAAATGCAGAAACAAAGGAAAACAGTCTAGCAAGACTAAATAATAATAGTTTAGTCACTAAGCATAGTCAAGGACTTTTAGTTCCTTCTCAGGGGCTATAGATAATATTCTGAGCCATATCCCGTGAGCTGTCTTGTAGATGCCGAACCCCCCCACCAGGTGGAAGAAGTTAACTACATGATGACCAGACTGCAGCCAGGACCTAAGCTGCTCCAATTTACGGGATTCCAAGAACTGGCCTCAAAGAAATGGGAGCAAACCCTGGAGCTGAAGACTAACTGTACTTAAAACAATGAAGATGATGCTGGTCAGACCACCGCATGACCAATTTCAAGACGACTGTCAGAGCTGACTGTGCAGTTTCTGCATGTAGCCCCTGCATGCAGGGACCTCAAAGGGAGTTGGCCTTTGGACAGGAGTCCATCCTCCCCGCCCCCCGGTTGCCGGCCTCCAAAATAAAGCAAACTTTCCTTTCCACCAACCTTGTCTCTTTATTGGCTTTTGAGCAGTGAGCAGCCAGACCCCACTCTTGGTTACACTCCAACACTCCGCCCCTCATGACCAGCTCTTACAATTTCACATGGCCCCCCTCTTTCACGATATGCACTGAGTAGTCAGCCAGGGATTGCATTAGCATTGGAGGTGGCTCGTTAGGCGCCTATGTGGCTCTGGAGGCAGATAGCACAGAGGCAACATAGGTACTCAGGAGAGGAAACACAGATTAAGATAAGGATGCCCAAAACAAGTCACAATTTTTCCCACCAAGAGCCCCATTGAGGCAGGAGATAGATGGGCTCCAGGCTGGACATTTACAACTAGCCTTCTGTTTACACTTCCTGAGGCAAGAGGCAGGTGGGCTCCAGGCTAGATATTTACAACTGGCCTCCCGTTTGCACTTTGAGATGGAAATAAGGGTAACTAGTTGGACTTTGTCTCCTGTGGGCACTTTAAGATAACAGTTACGGCAGGGACAGAGAGAGGCTATACCCTGTTTAAGTAAAAGATCAAGAGGTTGGCCACTGGGTGGTCCGGCTTGCGCGGAGGCCCTGGGACTCCCGCGGGTTCCCCGGGGAAGCAGCGCAAATTGACAGATGTGCGTGAGGCGGTTCCTGGTCGGCCTCACGTTTTGTACCTGCTACCTGGCTTCTTACCTCACGAACAAGTATGTCCTGTCTGTCTTGAAATTCACCTACCCTACGTTCTTCCAAGGGTGGCAGGCTTTAATTGGTGGACTTTTGCTTCTTGTGTCATGGAAACTGGGCTGGGCAGAGATCAACAGCAGTTCAAGATCAGATGTTTCCACATGGCTTCCTGCTTCAGTGCTGTTTGTGGGTATCACCTATGCTGGTTCCAGGGCACTGTCCAGACTGGCCATTCCTATGTTTCTCATTTTGCATAATGTAGCCGAAGTTATCATCTGTGGGCACCAGAAGTGTTTTCAGAAAGAGAAAACATCTCCTGCAAAGATCTGTAGTGCCCCCTTCCTCCTGGCAGCCGCAGGGTGCCTGCTCTTCAGTGACTCCCAGTTTGATCCAGATGCTTATTTCTGGGCTGTAATTCACTTATGCTGCATAGGGGCTTATAAGATACTACAGAAATCCCAGAAACCCAACGCGTTAAGTGACACTGACCAGCAGTACTTAAACTATTCAGTGTGGTGCTCCTGGCATATGCATCTCACCCCACAGGGGATCTCCTCAGCGTCCTGGACTTTCTGTTCCTGTATTTCTATAGATTCCATGGCAGCTACTGTGCCAGTGGAATTTTAGGATTCTTTCTCACGTTCAGCACAGTGAAGCTAAAATGCCAGGGCAGTGTGCAGCCTGGATTTTCTTTGCTAAGGGGCTTCCCTGGTGGCGCAGTGGTTAAGAATCCGCCTACCAATGCAGGGGACGCGGGTTCGAGCCCTGGTCTGGGAAGATCCCACATCCTGTAGAGCAACTAAGCCCGTGTGCCACAGCTACCGAGCCTGTGTTCTAGAGCTCGTGAGCCACAACTACTGAGCCCGCATGCTGCAACTACTGAAGCCCACGCGCCTAGAGCCCGTGCTCTGCAACAAGCCACCACAATGAGAAGCCTGCGCACTGCAACAGA